TAGATGGCATATTTACCTGAATTGTATACGTAAATGCCCATTTTGCACACAAATGTGTTTCTTGGCATCTACAAATTGTTGCTTTTACAAATAATGCTAGTGCAGTTAAGGATACTTTTTTCAAAATTGTGTCTCGAAAATCTGAGACCATGTGATATCCTTTTGAAGAAAAAAGTGCTTAGGCTAAAAATGTTGGTAGAGCTCTATGTTCTGTGGATATGATCTTGCTCCATTGGGTCTTTTGAATTCACTGGTTGTGGGATTGGACCTTATTATAGCAGAATAACTTCTACCAAACTGTATCATTCTTTGCTGATCTGGGCGTGAGTGTTTTTTGTTTTGTTTTATATCTGTAAGAATTATGTAGCCAAAAGATAGTCCCTTATGTATGGCTAGATTGAAACACTTTTTCCTAGTTCTTTATGATTTGTGCCAATCCTAAAACATACAATGGCCTTCTTGAAAATACAATATAATGCATTATTTTGTGTAGGTTCTTCATACATTCGCTCTTAAAAGGCTTTACATAATTAAAATATACAATTGCACAGTAAAAATAAAAAGTAAAAGGAAAGATATTGACAGGTAATAGCAAGAGAAGAAATGTTTTTAGATGTTTGAAAATAAATACTGTGTGAGGCCGATAGATACAATAAGTGTGTTTCAGATGGTAGGTGTTATAGAAAGCTCTTGCATCAACAGTGATAAGATGAGCAAAAACAATGTGATAAAAAATTGTGAAGGTATATAGAGAACACTGGTGTTACGTGAATGGATGGAACAAAGAATGGAGTAGACAAAGAAAAAGTCCATAGGAAGGCTGTAGCAATATCTTGGAGGGAAAGGAAAGCAGCTTTGAAGTGATGCCTGAAAAAAGACAGGAAGCTCTTGGAGTAGTTTGGAGGTGTCAATGAGGTGATTGAGTGTTTGTATGGGTGAAAGGTAAGCTAGCAACATTCTAAACCTGATGAAGTCTGAGGAGAGTCCATAGTTGCAAAGGGTTGTGAGAAGATTACTGGATGGATAAAGATTTCATTAGAGGCAAAAACAGTTTCCGAGATGGTGATATGCAGATTTGCAGACAAACAGTTGAAGTAGGAGAGTTCGGGATTAAGGATGTTGCCAAATTTAAGGACAGTGGAGGTAACAGGAGATCAACATAAAGAAATGCAATGGTGTTAGGTTTAAAGATGGTTCTCTTGCCCCAGAGAAACACTTCATTCTGATATTTGGCTGAAAGAAGTTAAAATAAAATCCCAGGTTTATTTGATCAAGACAGAGTGTTTGGACAGGGAGGTGCACTTTTTCATCAGAGGTTCACTTTCCATGAACAATGAAATACCAGCAGTGTAAAAGTGGTAGCTAAGGTCTTGCCTACACTTGAAAGGGTTTGCCAGTGTAGATATACCAGTGTAGCGCTATATTGGCAACACCTCCCAGCTTGTATCGGAAAGATAGTTCTTTAGCCATGATAGTTTAAACCAGTTCCTTGAGTGGAGCACGCTGTACCAGTTTATAGAGTGGGCTTTTGCCAATGTAATTGAGTAGGGTGGGGGGAAAAATCATACCCCTGACCAACGTAGCTGTGCCAGCAAAACTTTTTAAGTGTAGATCAGGCCTAAGTTTAAAGTTGGAGATAAGGTTAGAGAGAGAAAGTAGACAGAAAAGGCCAAAGGGCAAGGCCACAGGAGGAGAAATCATCCCAGAAATGAAGGGCCTTTTAATAGACAAGAGCAGAATAATTTGAGGAAGGAACCAAAGTTCCCTGTTAGTTTAGAAGCTGTTCTGCACTCAAGGAGAATGGGGACGAAGAGCCACCTCAGTAGAGGAGGTTGTTGACTATATACAATTGAAATTGCTCTTCCCTGTGACCAATATACAAAATCTAGATTGAATACTGTCAGTGAGATTATTGTTTGAGCACTGACTGGAGAACTGAG